CAAAAGAATGAGTCTTGGAGAAGCAGAGTCTGTCAAAAGAGGTGGCTCCCGACTTCCAACCTAACAATGCAACCTAACACCCAAACGGATGCATTCATTCCACGGCCTCGTCACTGGGCACACTCTCAGGTCCAGCAACACCCACGCTGGAAGATGACATGAACTTCTCATACTTGCTCATGGAAGCTGCCACGTCATAAAATCTCCCATGTCTGACCATCAACTCCAGTGCTAAACTCTGACATCCCATGACTGAACAAAAGGTCTCCGCACTACCCAACTGCAACATTTGCTTTCATGCTGAACACTGAAGAGCACTGTGCATCTATCTTATCATTAGCAGTAGTGGCTTTTTTCATTGCTGTTGTTTGAATACATTGAACAAAATTCTATTTTCGCAAAACAGTGAATTAAGTCCGATATTCTCTCTATGGACCAGACTTCCCTAGGCTTCTGTAATTGGCTGGTAGGTGGTTCTATCAGGTATGAGCTGCATGCCATGAATGGTCACTCTCCCAGCTCCAACAACAGTCCTTTACTACTGAACGTTCCAACCACAAATAGACTTCTTTCACTTCTGTATTAAGTTGTGTGGTGTTCTACTTTAAAACCCTAGAATAGGAGAATACAAACTGAATTGCTGAGGTAAAGATCATAGCTGGATATTAGTATTCAGATTTTATTTTTATATGGGTCTAATTTTATGCACACATTTAAATGTCAATGTGCTATGATAGTAAGTAGATATAATTAGACATCGTCAGAATTGAAAAAATTTTTCTTGAAAAATTTAAGGCTCTCAAAGGTCTAAACCTAACATTCCAAAATACTCCGGGTACACAGCAGGTGCACGGACAATTGCATCCTACTCCACATCCTTATCTTTGGTACAGTCATTCTCGTTTCACAAAGTGAATACAAGGGAACACCCTGGGTGCTTTTACCTGTAACTCTAATCACCCCCACTGGAACCAGAATCTGAAACTCCTCTCCAAAAAGTGAAAGCAGAGTCAACGTTCAAAGAAAAGACAGAAGCCATTAATGAGGGAGAACAAGAACTCAGCATCAGAGAGGAGCAGACAACCCCAGAAGGGAATACATGAGTCTTTCCAGTGACTCACCCTGAACTTCAGGCAAGGGGCTAAAAGGAAGACCAGAGTCACGAGAGCGAAAGCTGGTCCAAATGGGATGGAAAAGGGAAGAAGATGCTCAGATGGGGAAGGAACCGTGGTTTGGACATGCAGCACCAAAAGCGCTACCCAGAGGGAACACACCCTTCTACAGGAGGTTGCTGTAAAAGAAAGAAAATATGTTCTTGCCTTTGCAGACTTAAGTAGTGAGAGTGTTTAGAAATTCCAGAACCCAAAAACCTCGCCTCTGTCTGAATCATGACGATGGCTACACAGATAAACTTTAAACATAAACATCATAGGATTTAGTTTTTCAACTATATTAGAGATAGATGGTGGATAAGAACACGGAAGCCAAGCTGCCTGGCTTTCCACCTGTGACCTGTGCAGCTTCAGGCAAGTTATTTACCTTCTTGGGCCCTATTTCCCAGTCTGGTAAATGGAAATATTAACAGTATGTATTTCCTAGGATTGCCGTGAGCACCAAAGCAGTTGGTTAATGTACCAACTGGGAGTAGTACCACACTGTTGGCTTTTACAGTTGAATTATTTACTAAATATTGATGAACTGCCCCCACATTAAAAAAAAAACTCTGGAAGTAGGGTGTCAGGAGTGACTGTGAGAAGACGAATAAAATACACTTCCCCCAATGCGAGGATAACGCTGAGAAGCAGAGCATGGTCCACCCCACTATTCAAGGTGAGCACAGGCAAGGGCCAAGGACAGTGGCTGACCCGGAACTCTAGCGCCTTGTATGGATCTGACACTTTGCACAGCTCACACGAGAAGCAGCCAAGCACACGCTGCTTTACCGATACGGACTACTACTCCAGCACAGGCCAGGGAGCGAGGCTGTCCAAGGATCACCAGGCATTGCTGCCATGCTCAGAACCCTGCCAAGAATCTCTCTAGATAATGACCAGAGCCCTCACCCTTGGCTGATCTTTAAGGAAAGTCTTCAGAGAAAGACCACTAAGAAGCTCATCACCTTCCTTGCAGGTTCAGAGCACTGCATTTCTCTTGGTTCAACCCAGGCAAAGGAACTGACAGGAAATGAAGAGAAAGTCCACCATCTATCCATCCCGCAGACACCCAGGGCTTACGTTACCATCTATACAGGCCAGCGTCTCTGTGCTCGCACTGGGCCCAGACTTCCTCCTGATCCACACAACAACTCCCCAGTGGAAGTCTCCAGCTAAACCCAACAAGAGCCCTCCATACTCATTCCCAAAACAGAATACTTCTCCATGAACGACACAACCAACTACTGAAGCTACACTCAGGCCACTCTCTCTCTTGTCCATAATCCACCTCTCTCCAGGCTGCTCCACTGAAACTCCAAATCCTCTCAAACCATCAGTTTTTCTGCTTCAAACTCTACCCTTCCACTCCTAGAAGTCAACACTTATGAGGGTACATCAAACAGGTCATGGAAAACGGAATGAACAGGTGGGTTGAAATCTGTGCACAGTTCTTTCCTAACATACATGTTCCGTGAAGGACCCACATATCTGTGTGTGGGAGAGGCTGTATCGGTTCCACTACTACATCCTCGCACCTGGCACACACATAAAATGCTCTGTAATTTCCACAGGAAGTGGGAAAGGAAGCGTGAGCACAAGAAGAAACTTCAAGGGCGGGGAGGTGGCATCATGGCTCAACAGGCTAATACTCCACCGGAAGGTCCAGCATCCCTTATGAACACTGGTTCTAGCTCAGGCTGCTAGATTTCAGATTCACGTCCCTGCTTATGGCCTGGGAAGGCAGCAGAGGATGGCTCGCATCCTTCATTCCCTACACCCACATGGGAGACCAAGAAGAAGCTCCTGGCTTCAGGTTGGCTCAGCTCCGGCTGTTGTGGCCACTTGGGGAGTGAACCTGCAGATGAAAGATCTCTTTCTATTCCATCTCTCCTTCTCCATAAAGCTGCCTTTGAAATCAAAATAAATCTTAAGAATAAAGACTCTTGGATTCAAAAAGCAGCCCTTATTGTCAGTGTGTTTTGTGCATATCACCTCTTCACTAAGCCTCAGAGTCTAACTTTCAGGTAATAATTCAAACAATAACAACAGAACATACTGGAGTCATCCAGGCTCTTTTGCAAAACTCCAATTCGGTTTCATATTGGCCTTGAAGCCTGCCTTTGACAAATGGCCAAGCCAACAACCAGAGTCAGGTGGCAGTTGAGCAAGGGTATAACTAAGTGCTCGTGGGCAAATGATGCCTGGTGTTCATGTGCTCCATCATCAGCCTGGGTGATGTTTACAAGTTTTCTCATTCGGTTAAGAGTGAAGTTTGCACTGCAAAACAAGGGCAGGTAGGGAAGGAAAAAGGGTTCGTCAAGCACACCAGACACTGTCACAGTAGCTGTGTTCATGTACTGAATACACAGCTGGAAAAGGGACAACTCAGGGTGATACAGCCCCACCCTGCCCAGGAGACAACAATTCACCCTTCTGTGATTGACATACACTGAATTAACATCCTTTTAAAATTATTTTTTTGGCTAGCACTCTGGCATTGCCAGTTCAGCCAGTGCCTGTAATGTTGGCACCCGATATGGAGGCCAGTTCATTTTCCAGCTGCTCTAGTTCCAATCCCGCTCCCAAAAGGCAGCAGAACATAGCTCAAGTGCTTGTGCCTTCACACCCACTGGAAGACCGAGATGAAACTCCTGGCCTCTGGACTCAGCCTGTCTTCACTTTAGCCATTGCAATCATTTGAGGAGTGAACCAAAGCATGGAAGATCTCTCTATCACTGTCTATCTCTCCTATTTCTCTCTGTAGTTCACCTGTCAAATAATTACATAAAATTTTTTAAACTTTTCATTTTATTTGAAAGGCAGAGAAACGATTTTTTTTTCTGTCATTCACTGTTTTACTCCCCAAATGCTCACAACTTTTGGAGTTGGGCCAGCTGAGTCAGGAGCCAGGAGTTCAACCCAGGTCTCCGACACAAGCGGCACATCCAACCTCTTGAGTCGTTACCACTGCTTCCCAAGGAACGTTCCAGAAGGAAGCTGGAATCACAAGCAGAACCGGGATTCTGAGCCAGCCAAGGCTGCTGATCCGGCACAGCTCCCAGGGAGCCAGAGCCTTGGGCCTCCTAGGGGGCCCATGGCCTCCCTGCAGCCCCTTCAGCAGGGGCCGTCTGAGGTCATTCTTAGTGCAGAAAAGTTTCCGGATGCACTCAGGCTCAGCATTTAATCTCTGCAGAGGAGGTGACTCTATGTCACATAGTTGTCAATATCACCACTGTGGATCAGGAGCTTACATGTTGGTCTCAAGGAGAAAAACCTCTAATGTCACGTTATTCGTACTACATTAAAGATTTAAAGTAACCCGTCCCATAATATCCCTCCAAGCATAAATGGAACAAACTTCCTTCAAGTACAAAATCGTTCCTGAACACCAGCTTGCTAGCTAAGATTAACGGCCTACTTACTTGGGGTGAAACTATGAAACTGACAAACTCTTGTAAAATAAAAGTAATCCTTGAGTTTCAAAAGACATTATCAACTTAACTTTAAAACAAAAAGCACCTGAATTTTAGGTCGAATTCTTTCATGTGAAATGGTATTGAGAACCAATTTAAATAAATAGGAATCTTAACAAGTAAAATTTCATCACCAGAGATTCTGCTTTTTTGTAATTGTCCATTGTTTCAATGTATAAAGAAAAACCACAGAAATTCCTAGATCATAGTTAATGTGCAAGCATAATGTTCAAGCTATTCTAGCACAGAGTTAAAAACAAGGGGACCATCTCGTTTCTCATGAAGAATTTTTTTGAGAAATTTGAAGTAATAGCTCATCATTCATGCCTTAATGAACATGAAAGGTGTTCGTGGGGTCACGAGCAGGGGTTACCTTCTAGACACTGGCAAGTGAATCCGCTGAGACTGGAAATGCATGTGGCTCCATTTCTGCACGGGTCTAGGATACAGTAATCAATCTTGGATTCGCAAAGTTGTCCAGTGTAACCTGAATGAAACAAAATGCACATTTTAACAACTGTAATTCTAAAGCCACTCTGGGCCACACCAGGAAGAGACAGGCTCATCCGGGGCCGAGCGCGAGACAAGGGCAGCATCCTCAGCCAATCCCCTCCCCGCCTCCTGAGCTAGTGCACCTTTACAAGTAGGAAAAAATCATAGCGGTTTACAACCACGATTCAAACATTATTCACTTTTCAAAATTCTTGATCAAAAAGACAGACTTCTCTTCAGCATCAGCTCCAGGCTTTCTCAATGGAACTAAACTGTCTGGGCTGAGGTTACTGTTGTCGTATCACAGGCTGTAAGAATTCCCAACACTGAACTCACTGAAATGACGACCGCTTTCCTAGCTCATCACAATGACATAGAACAGAAGTGTTAGGAGAAGGTCGGGGCACGCGACTCTTCATGGAAAGTATCCTAAAGGCAGACGATCCCATTTATGTTAATTCTGCACTCTCCTCCCTCATTCTAAAAGATAAAGAGTTTGTGCCATATAATACATAAGCATATTAATATGTTACTTTCTAACTTACATTTTATTCTGGAGACATAAAGGCATATTTGACCATCTTTATAAAACTACATAAAATTATTTTGTTTGTATACAATGAACAGATTTCATACACAACATACACACAGCATACTGGTATTTTCCAGCCCACCCTCCCTCCCACCCATGAGCCTTCCCTGCCTCTTCCTACCTTTTCTTTTTTTTTCTCTCCCCTCCCCTCAGTTTTCACACTTCACATAGGCTCAACCCTCCATCAGAAAAAGGATCCAACAAATGATTGGCAGAAAAAAAAAACAAAACACCACCATTCTTCAAGAGCACAGACAAGGGTCAGGAAAGTAACCAAACCTCAACGTGCCTGTCTCACTCGTGCACATGACATTTTTCGGGACTCTATGTATTAGCACCACAACTCAGGGGAAACAGACGATATCCTTTTGGGGAGACTGACTTATCTAAGTATGATGATTCCTAACACTTACTTACATCACAGATTGAACTAAATTCTCAGCGAAGCAAGCACCTCCCCCATGGGGATGTTCTTAGAAAACTTGAGTCACACACACAGGATGGGAAAGAAGGCGGTAAATCGATTTTAACACCTGTGAGGCCAAACAAGTTTAAATAAATTCCAGCGATTTTTTTTAAAGATTTATTTTCTTTTTATTGGAAAGTCAGATATGAAGAGAAGAGAGACAAAAAGGAAGATCTGCCATTCGATGATTCGCTCCTCAAGAGGCCACAATGGCTGGAGCTGTGCCAATTCGAAGCCAGGAGCCAGGGGTCTCTTCCGGGTGTCCCACATGGGTACAGAGTCCCAAGGCTTTGAGCCATCCTTGACTGCTTTCCCAGGCCACAAGCAGGGAGCTGGATGGGAAGCAGAGCTGCCAGAATAAGAACCAGCACCCATATGGGATCCTGGCGTGTTCAAGGCGAGGACTTTAGCTACTAGGCTACCATGCCGGGCCCCAGATTTTCTTTAATCAATTTTTAAAACAAAGGTTTCCACAGAGAAAATTTTAAAAAATAATAAGGTAACATGCTTCTCATCTTAAAAGTGGGAAGTGAAAGAAAGTGGATTATGGTGGAATATTTGAGAAATACAAGAGTTAAAATAATGACAGAGAAACATGTCTTTAGTCACGTTATTTGAATGACAGGACCATTAACGCCCTGGAGACAATCCTTTTCAGAAACATTGGATGTATAGAGATTTCCTACATCTTCAATCATTCTGTAACATTTTTTGTGCATCTTCAGGATGATTTTCACTATAAAAAAACTTATCTTCCCAAATTATTTTAGAAAGACTGTCTTTATTACTTTAATCCCAGATTTAAAATAAGTAAATTAATAGTACTGGATAAGAGATGATATGACTGGGCTTCAGTTACCTTGCCTAAGTAGCTTAAATTATAGACTATTAATTAAAGACTATACAACTTTCTACTGTTCCTACAATCTTTGCTTTAAGACAACCCAGGGATTTTTTGGCGATCCATGAATATGAAAAGACAAACTAACAAACCTGTGAACTAATTATCCAAACACCAGAACAAAAATCCACTCCACAGCAGACTGTGTGAATATTACAACACTATGTGAAGATTACATTTTCAAGCAAAAGTTCTAGATTCAAAATGAAAGAGAGCGCCTGGTTTTTAGTAGGAGTCGTCCCAGTAATGTGTGCTCGGGACGCTGCCTAACCATGTGTACAAGAGTAATACTACGTGCGCCACACCACTGCCCTCTCTCCCCATGTGCAAAACTCAGCCTGAAAGGCATCACAGGCCTCAACAAAAGAACCAGAACTTCAGTAAGAAAACATGGAAGAGACTTCAGGACACTGGACTCTGGATCAGTGAAGCTGGTCCTGGGACTGGAGAGCTTCCACATGGCAACAGCAACCAGCAAGAGGAGAGAGGCAACTTGCAGAATGGGACTAAAGAGTTACTTACATCTGAAAGGCAGCTAGCATGTGGAAAATCTCAGTCCAGTAGCAAATGATTAGTTCATCTTAAAAATGGACGGTAGATTCAGACAGACATTGATCAAGTAAGGCATAAAAATCACAAGCAGATACATGAAAACATGTTCAATACTGCTAATACCCAGGGAAATCTAAATGGAACCCACAGTCAGACATTGCCTCACTCCTACTTGATTGCCTGAGACAAAAGGCAACATGTGTTGGAGAGGATGTGGAGACAAGGGGACGGTTTCCCATTGTTGGCAGGGATATCAGTCAGTACACCCACTGTGGAAAATGCTGTGGAGGTTCCTCAAAAACACAGTTGCCCCAGAATGTAGTAATCCCACCACTGGGATGAAGTCAGTCCATCAAAGACAACTGCCCTCCCATGGTTACTGCAGTAATGGACGCAAGAAACAACCTATGTTCAACAAATAAAGATGGTATAGAAATCTGCATCGTAGAATACTACTCAGCCATGAAAAGGATGGAATTTTGTTATTTAAAACACAGAAGTAACTAAAGGGCAACAAGTTAACTGAAAGAAGCCAGGCACAAAAGATACGTACCAGATGATGTCACTCCTGCGGAATCCTAACAAGTTGATATCACAGAAGTTGGGAATATAATAGCGGTTGCCAAAGATGGAGAAAACAAGAGGATGAGAGAGAGGAAGAGAGGCTGAGTGATCGGTTCTAAGCCACAGTTTTGGGGTTCTATAGCACAATGGGGTGACTACAGCAGACACGATAAGGTGCTGTGCATTCTCCACTTGGAGAAAAGTCACTAAACAGAACATAAGGTCTAAGGCATTCTGTAACGCTGTCATCAAAAACCTGTATTCAGTACGAACAAAAATAACAGGAGATGATAACAAAATGCATAGCCTACACAGAGATAGCTATGCACTAAATATTCCCTTGTAACTTATGATCTATCTATGACTATAATTGGGCTCCAGGTACCAACAGTTGTTTTTCTTCACCTCACATATCTATTGCCTCATATCAACAATCAAGAACATTTTGTTAATTTAGCCTGCCCTCTCACATTTCCATATTTTACCCATGAGAGTATCTTAAAGCAAATCTCATTTCACCTGTAAATATTTCATTGTTGTCCTAACACAAGGAGATGTTTCTAAAGGTCACTTTTAATAGTCTCTCAATGTTCAGTTCCATTTATAAATTTCACTAAACACTTTTTAAAGCATATTGATTATTTTTCATGATTTTTGAGAACTGTCTAACAATATATAAATTCTCCCATACAAGTAAGTAGTTCTTAAAGCTCTAATAAATGAAATATGTAAACAAAATGAATGTTAAGTTCTGCTAAAAGCTTCAACACTGTGTGCAAGTTTGCTAAGATTTCGGGGTAGGAGATTAATTCAGCTTTGAAAGTGAAGGGTGTCTGAGGATGCCACGGGCGTGTATTGGGTGAAGATGTGAAAGCCCTACTTGAGTGGAGAAGCTTGAGCGTAAGAGTGTTACACACAACGCCAATAATCTCCTTCAGTGCAAAACACTGGTCCAGATTCAACAAAAACATCATCACTTTTCTTCTTGAGCTTTAAAGTCTCTAAAGATTTTTTAAAGAAACTTAATTTCAGGATAATTTTAAATTTGAAAACCAAAAAATTGTGAATACACCAAGAGTTCCCATATATCCCACACTGTCACACAGAAAACTGTAGAGAAAAAGATGTTATGTAACTAATTGTGCTTATAATGAATGATTAGGTGGACGTGCCTGTAAGGTTCATTGTCCCTAGAGATGAAGACACAATAATGGGGGCATGTGGGAAGGACGGAGAGGAAGAAGGCAGGCAAGTCAATGAGATTACAGTTTTACTGAGCATTGATAGATACAATTGACCAACATGACCGGCAAGAAGCAGCTGTAGATCTGTAGCCATAAATTTGCCCCTAGTCCATGCCAGGCTGCAGGCTCATCAAGAAAATCCAGGTATCCCTATAGTCTTCAGTGGAGTCACCAGTTGGTCCCATAGGTGACTGCCTTCCTCCTGCCAGATCACTGAAGCCACAGGAAAAGGTATCATGAACATCCTTGGCAGGATGAAGGTCCCTGAACTCCCAATGAGTCACTCCTTGGGTCCCCCAACAGCTGAACTGGACCAAGGTGTCAGACAAATCATTGACCCTGTTACTCTGTGACACCCTGCCTGGCATTGCTAAGACTTACCCAAATCACCCTTCCCGAGCCTTCTGCTCCAAAGAATCTAAATTAGTGAAGACTAAGGATTTCAATGAAAAGTGTCTTGCCTAGGTCCATTCCTCTATCTCTCTGCAAGTTCATCTCTTCTCTGGCAAATAAGTCAGAACATTAACTGTGTACAAAGCAAGGGCAGGCACCTGACAGAGCCAATGCTGCAGAAAGGAAAGGTAGCAAGTGGCAACCTTGTGAGTTATGGGGGGATTTGCACACACACACACACACACACACACACACACACACACACACACAAGCATTTCAGCCT